CATATAACCCCTAACATGACGACCTGTTGCTGGGGCACGATCACCAGAGAAATACCCCGACTCTTGAGAACTCTTGGCCTCCATCTCCTCTCTCTCCCTAGCATGTATACCCTCAATCCTCCTAGCAATGCTCACCACCTGCTGATAAGAAATATCCATCTCCAACTCGCGAGACATGCTAGACCTGATGCTGGGAATAAAGCCCTTAATAAACCGGCGAACCCTCTCACGAATAGTAGAAAAAAAGGCTGGTGCATGCCTAGCCAAACTGGTGTAACAGACAGCATACTCAGAGACAGTCATAGTACCCTGGCGCAAATGCTCAAACTCTGCGCGCCATGCATCCCTAAGGCTCTGAGGAACATACTCTCTCAGGAATAGATCTAAAAACTGAGTCCAAGTTAGTGAAGCAGCCTCATCTGGACTGTCTAACTCATAGGTGTGCCACCACTCATAGGCGGCTCCTCGAAGCTGGAAGGTAGTGAAGGAAACCCCGCTCGATCCTAATATACCCATGGTACGGAGANCATCTAGAAATCCCAAAGCATCCTCCGATGCTAGACCGCTGAATACAGGAGGCTTGTACCTCTTGAACCTCTCAAGCCTCAACTCCTCCTCCTCATAAGTCGTTGTGCTTCCCTTGGGCTGAACTGGCACTGCAGGCGGTACATGAATAATCTTAGCGACCTGCTCAACATGCAATCGCTACTCAGGAGTGCGGGCAGCGGGAGTCTATGCTCCTCCCCCGGCCTGATATGTAGCTGCAGTAAGGGGAAGCAACCTTGCCTGAGCCAGAGTGGTGTACATGCTCATGAACTGTGCCAGAGTCTCCTGAAGAGTTGGAGTAGTAGTAGCAGTAGGCATGTCAGGTGCCTGGACTCCGGATGGAATTGCTGGTGGTACATCCGCAGTAGCTCGCGCAGGTGCTCTGGCTACACCACGTGCGCGTCCTCGGACTCTACCCCAGCCCCAACCTCTGACGGATGCAGTAGGGGGCGCGAGTGCCTGATTATCTTGGGTAGCACGTGTCCTCACCATCTATGAGAGAATAGAAGACAGAAGTTTAGAATTGTGATGTCAAAATATCGCACGATAAGAAAATCAAATGTAATAGAATTTTCCTAACAGTTACATAGCCTCTCGTAGATAAGTACAGACGTCTTTGTACCGGTCAGCGAGACTCTAATAAACTGGCTTGTGATCCATGACTCCTATGAACCTAGAGCTCTGATACCAATTTGTCACGACCCCAGTTCACCCTCCATGCACCATCGTGATGACACCTAGTCCTCTACGACTAGGTAAGCCTAAATTGCCGGAAGATAAACCAAAGTGCGGAATAGAAAATAAACTAAAACAGAATAAAGAGTGATAAAACAGTGTTTAAAAGTGTCGCTCGACATACACAATATTTACTCTCAAACCAATACATATTTCCAAGACCCGAAAAATCATGAATCACAAGCTAAGGATCACTACACAGTACTCTTAACTCCAGAATGTCTAACAAGAAAAGAAATACAAAAGGGCTAATAATTAAAATCGAGAACAGAAAGGGACTCCTCGATCTGCAGACGCGACAAATATACCTCGAAGTCGCTGGAGCAGTCGCTTCGCCTCAAGGATGATAGGACTGAGTCGCAGTACCTGGATATGCACATGAAAAATATGCGCAGAAGGGGCATGAGTACACCACAACGGTACTCAGTAAGTGCCAAGCCTAACCTCGATCGGGTAGTGACGAAGAAGGTCAGGGCCCTACTGAGGTTAAATAAAATATAAAGTTTGACAGTGTAGAACAGAACAATATAAATAAATACAGTGGTAAAAGTAACACAAGATATAAAAAGGGAAACAACAACTATTACAGAGACAAGGCAAAGCACGGAAAGAAATGCGACTTAGCACCAAAATAACAACTGGGGATCTCCCAGGATATCGTCCTGTAGTCCCATATGTACATATCTAATGGATCTCCTGGGATCCCGTCCCATAGTCCAACTCATAGTGCGTGGAGATCTATCAAAATCTCGTTCCGTAGTCCCAAATATAAATACCTAGTACTGGGGGGAATCTACCGGGTGCATTCCCGTAGTTCCATAAACTATGCAGGGGGATCTACCGGAATCCCACATTCGTAGTCCCAAAATAAACAGGCAAGGGGGAGCTACCGGAATCCCACATCCGTAGTCCCAAAATAAATACACAGCAACAACAGGAAAATATGCAGAAATAGCAAAATTTCCTATTAAGGCAATAAGTGATTCTAGCCTAGCATGCTGCACAGAATTTAAGTAAAGCGGGTTGAGCAAATAGAGCAATTAAGTCACTTAGGCATGCTTTCCTAAGCTAACAACAGGCTTAATAGTGCAAATAATAAAAACAGGAAAGGAAACATACTAGTGATTGCCTTAAGGAAAACCGAATTTCCAACAATTAGCACAAGTACGCACTCGTCACCTCATGTAAAAGGCATTTCAATTACCAAATATACCAGTCCTAAGGGGAAGGTCCCCCACACAAGGTTAGACAAGCCACTTACCTCGAACCGGCTCAAAATCAACCTGAAACCACGCTCTTGCCACGAGTACTCGACTCCAAATTGCCCAAATCTATTCAATTCAATTGCATAATGTAAATAACACTTCAAGTAACTAATTATACAAAGAAATTCTAAGCTAATACGCAAAATTAGGTAAATCAACCAAAACGCCCCTCAGGCCCACGTCTTGGAATCGGGTAAAATTTACATTTTCAGAATTCTCATACTCTCACGAGTCTAACCATACCAAAATTATCCAAATCCGATGTCAAATCCCCAATAAAAACTCAATTTTTTTGTTCTAATAACTTTTCCAATATTTTCATACAAATTCCAAAATTTAATGAAGAATTCATGTTTAGATTAATAGGTTACAAACAAAAAGGAGTTAAGAATCATTACCAGCCAAATTCCTCCGAAAATCTCTTGAAAATTCGTCTCCTACTGAGCTCCCAATTCAATTTTGTGATATGAACTAAAAACCCTCGATTTTGAACTTTATGTTCTGCCCAGCTAATTCCTTAATCGCGATCGCGGAAGACCAGACGAGATCGCGAAGAACAAAAAGCACGCGCCTCAGATTTACTCTACGGGAACGCGAAACCACGTCCGCAAACGCGATGCTTTAGCTCCCTCAACCTATGCAATCGTGGTTGACTCCACGCAACCTCGTAGAGAAACACTTAAAAAACCACTACCGCCTTATTCCTTCTACGCGAACGCGGCCTAGCCCACGAGTTCGCGATTCAACATTTCTCATAGCTACGCGTTCACATTCCTCTTCACGCGAATGCAAAGGCAAAATTCCCTCTGCATCATCTAAGCCTTCGCGATCACGATCCTCCCCACGCGATCGCGATGAAGAAAAGTCTGCAACACATACCAAAAAAAGTCTGATGCTTTTCCAAGTCCAAAAATGGTCCGTTGAGCATACGAAACATTCCCGAGGCCCCCGGGATCTTAACCAAACCTGCCAACCACCCCTAAAACATCATTCAAACTTATTCCAACCTTCAGAACGCTCAAAACAATATCAAAACACCTATTTTTCATCGGATTCAAGCCTAAGAATTCCAAAAACTCTAAAAATATACTTTCGATCAAAAAGTCTATCAAACCTCGTCTGAATGACCTGAAATTTTGCACACCCATCACGTTAAACATTACGGAGCTACTCCAACTTCCTAAATTCCATTCTGACCCTCGGATCAAAATTTCACTATCGAAACGGAAACTTCAAAAATTCAACTTTCGGCATTTCAAGCCTAAATTAGCTACGGACCTCCAAAACACAATCCGAACATGCCCCTAAGTCCAAAATCACCCAACGGAGCTAATAGAACCATCAAATTTCCATTCCAAGGCCGTCTTCATACTATTCCGACTACGGCCAACTTTCCAACACTTAAGCTCTCATTTAGACTAAGTGTCCCAAAACCTCCGAAACTCAAAACTGAACATCCCGACAAATCAAAATAGTAGAAATAAATTTGAGGAAATCAGTTAATGGGGGATCGGAACATAAATTCTTAAGACGACCGGCCGGGTCGTCACACTATCATGATTGACCAATGTGATAGTATTAAGGCTGCCATCAATGCTATGATGCCAAATACGGTACATAGATATTTTATATGGCACATATTCGCAAAGTTGCCTATGAAGTTAAGCGGAGTTCTTGATGGTAAGATTGCAAAGGCAAAATTTAAGGCTTTAGTCCTTGATAGCTTTATCGTTGCTGAGTTTGAGAGACGATCGACTGATTATATTGAAAAATATAACTTATATGGAAGGGATTGGTTTTATAAGCTTGATTTGGAGAAGGAGAAATGGGTTCCTGTATACCTAAATGGCCACTTTTTGGGCTGGGATGTTGTCCACATAAAGAAGTGAAGGAATGCAGGCTTTCTTTGACGAATTCATCACCCGCCAAAGCACTTTGAAGCTATTTGTTCAGCAATATGAGTTAGCCATAAGAGCTAAGTTCAAGAAATAATTGGAAGATGAATATAGGTCAAGGTTCTTTGAACCAAAATGTTTATCTGAATTTGCATGGGAGGAAAAATTTCAAATATGTTATACTCGTGAAGTGTTTGAATTTTTTCAAGTACAATTAAGGAAACTGTACCATTGTGAAATCAGCACCCCTGAAGACCATCAAACAATAGCTGGAGTGGAGAATTACATTATCGCAGATTATTCGTTCAGGAGTTTTAACCCTAGAGATCCATTTGTATTCACGGTTGAATATACACCTATTGGCGAATATCTAAGTTGCAGCTGCAAGTGGTTTGAAACAAGAGGTATTCTATGCTGCCATATACTTAAGGTCTTGTCTCATAAGAGGATTAAAAACGTTAATGAGAGGTATATATAGAGAAAGTGGAGAAAAGATGTTGTTCGTTCACACTTGAAACGATTCTTTCTTGGAGGTTACCCACGTATGACTTCTGAATAGATGATGTATAGGGAACTATTAAAGCATTTTGAACGGGTTTGTGATATTGCATTGGACACTGAAGTAATGAGGCGATATATTAAGTATCATTTGAACATATTGGAGCATGACCTTTTGAATTGGTATAATGATCAAATGATAGTTCCAAATTGGGAATTGAAAGATACACATGATGGTGTGGGTGAGGGTGAGGGTGAGAGTGAAGATGAGGGTGAGAGTGAGGGTGAAGGAAGAAATATAAGAGATCCTAGATACGTAGCTTCTCGTGGACGTCCAAGGTTGAATAGATATAGAGGGCGAATTGATTCATACTTTAGAAGTTCACAAATGGCTGGTGGAAGTGGAGTTAGAGGTAATAGGAGGGGTAGAGGTGTTGGTAGAGGTGGTGGTAGAGGTGTTGGCAGAGGTGGTGGTAGAAGTGGTGGTAGAGATGGTGGTAGAGGCCGTGGTAGAGGTGGTGGCAGAGGTGGTGGAAATACTGGGCTAGCAGAAGGAATTGAGGTAAAGTATAACAAATTATTATTATATTTTTTTCGAAAAATACATTGCTTATTAGTGTTATTTACTCTATACAGTAAGATAATGCAATAGTACCACCACAGAGTAGGTTGCCTGATCTAAACGACGAAGCAAACTGGGAGATAGAAGACTTGACCGTTTAGTTTGAGATGATTTAAGTTTGAATCTTATTTAATTTGATTTGAGATGGCATTTTTTAAATTTTTTGACTTTGTTTTGTAATAATTTAAACGTGTGATATTATAATTGTCATTGTTAAATATTTCTTCATTTTATTGTTACTTCATTTTAGTTTAGAGAACTAGACTAATAAAATGTGATTAGTTGCAACTAGTACAGAAGTGAAAGACTTCAGAACATTATAATCAGTTCAAATTAAGAACTAAAATACTCACATTTAGTTACTAAAACCCTAACCTTCAACCTTACTTTCAACATTAAACTTAAAGTCCTACCTTCAACACCTATCTTGGTATCCTACCTTCAACCCTTACATTGCACGATCTTTTTCCCAAAAAAATTCAACATTCAACTGCAACCAATTTCTAACATTAACTTCAACCAAATACTCCAAGAGTTCATTGTAAAATCAGTGTAACCATTCCATCTACCAATTTAACTTCCCTATGTAGCATTTACTAGATCTTACAATACATTAACCTATTTAACTTCCCTATGAAGCATTTACTATTATTTTATATTATTATTATTATTATTATTATTATTATTATTATTATTATTATTATTATTATTATTTTCTTCTGTATTTTTGCTCTTTATTCCCCTTTCAATATTTTTGTATATTGAAAGGGTGGATATAAAGAACATCGCCACCATAAGGAAGAATTAACAAAAAAAAACATTTACTAAACATTCCGTTAAAAAAAATATTATGGTAAAGAAGACCAATATGACGATTGTAATTTCATAACATTAGCACATCAACATACATGAAATTAAAATATAGTAAAGGGATAGAAAAATACAATACAAATCCTAATAAATTTCAACCAGATTATTATCAGAACTTCTCCTTTCAATTCAACATTGAAGTTAACATATAGTGGTGCAACATCAAGCAACATAAATTTGACGGTGAAACCTCGCTTGACATAATTGTCCAAAATAAAAAGTTTCCAGCCTGCCTTGAATATTCTTCTATCATCAACGCTCATATCTAAATACCACTCTTTGCCACGATAGAGAAGAAGCGCAGTGTCTACTGTTGGGAGGAGATGCTTGTAGATTTTTCTTGGAATATACTTTAAAAAAATATTACTATTAAGTTTCAAAAAAATATGAAACTAAATCAACATATACAATACTGACACATATATATATTCTGGAGTTAATGTATAAGAAACAAAAGAATTTTATGTAAAAAAGAAAATCAGTTAGGATTAACTCAAGTAGTTATTGTAATATTCAAAGAAATAAAGTTTAAAAGACATAATAATTTACCAGATCGTCGTAGTTGATATATGAATCAGTCATAACCACTTCAAATGTTGGAGGACTCTCTTCTTCATTATCACTGCTAGTAGAAGAGTAAGATAAGACTGTTTGATAGAGGGAGAGACATCCATAATTTAGGGTTTGTAGGTGAGTGTGTTTTTCATAGTTTAGGGTTTGAGTATGCGACTATATATGGGGTGCCAACCCAGTCCAAAAAATATTTCAAATTTGAGCGGCTTTTTTTGGTTCACTTTTGGTAAATTTGCAAATTAATTGTATTGGTAGAAATAAATGGTGTTAGTTGACATAAATGGTGTTAGTTGAAATAAATTATGTTAGATGAAATAAATATGTTATTTTGTATTCTCCATTCCAAAAGAATCCGAGAGAAGAATTGATTTAAAAAAAATAGTCTTTGAAATTGATTTCATCCGGAAGAAATGAAAAAAACAAAGAAGAACAATATAATTCAATTCCGTTTTTTTTATTGATAATTAAAAGAGTAAAGAAGAGGATAAATCAACACAAATACATCCTAGAAACTATTCAATCTCAACAGTATGAAGTTCCTTCTCCCTTCATCATAGAAAATATGAAACTGAATCAAAGAAATAAAGTTTAAAAAAATACATAATAATTTACCAGATCATTGTAGTCGATGTCTGATTCAGTCAAAACCACTTTAAATGACGGAAGATTCTCTTCTTCATTATCACTGCTAGTAGAAGAGTAAGATAGGACATCAGTGCTAGTAGAAGAGCAAGATAATGTTTGTTTGGTAGGAGAGACATCCATAGTTTAGGGTTTGAGTATGTGAGTGTATTTTAGGTCTTTAAGTTAGAGTATGAGACCATATATATGGGGCCAACCAAGTCCAAAAAAATATTCAAACACCTTCCTCATCAAAAAGGGTGTATTAAATAGTGCTAATAAATGTTATTACTTTTCTATGTAGCATTTACTCTTACACTACATTAACTTCCCAAGAGTTCAAAATCGTTCCTCTTAACATACCAACCCATCTCTTCCATTTCAGTTTTTTTGAATGATAATGAATTTTTTTTTATAGTAAATCAGACCAATATGAAGATTGAATTTCATAACATTAATACAACAACCGGAAAATAAAAATACATATTGCATAACTGGATTAAATTAAAACATGCAGCTAACAAAGGGAAAAAAACAAAGTGCCACAATAGGGAAACAATTCAAACACTTCACGAGTTATTAAAAAAAACTAATTAATCTCGACAGGATCTTCGTGAGTTCCTTGTCCTTTCACTTCGACTTTGAAGACAACAAGAATTTGTGCAATTTCAACTAACTCAAATTTAACCAAACAACCCCGCTAGATATCATTATGCATCACTTAACTTTTCCAGCCATTTTTGAGCCATCTACGCTCACCAACTTGTAATCCCATAAACAACCCTTTGCCACCATATTGAAGAACTGTGGTGGTATGTGCTTCAGGAATGTGCTCGTAGAAGCATTTTGGAATATGCTGGCAAAATAACACAAGGACAAAAAAATAACTTCATTTTATAACAATATTTACAATACTAACTGAATGAAAAGTAAACTTAGCCATATAAAAAAAGGCAGATTGTTGATTAGCCGATTTTTTCAAAAAATAAAATATCATTTACCAGATAGTCTTGTTTGTGTATGAATCTTTCAGAAGCACTTCAAATGTTGGATTTTGCTCTCCATCGTTATCATTAGAATATGAGGCGGATAGGGAACGTTTGGGAGCGTTGGGGGAGGGGTTCATGGTTGGTTTCTAGGGTTTTGGTAAGAGAGAGGGTCGTTTAGTTTTTTTGTATTGAGAGTTGTGTGTGTGAATTTATGTATATAGATATACACGGCCAAATATTTTCTTGTCACGATCCTAAACCCGGACCCGGTCGTGATGGCGCCTCTCGTGAAGACAAGGCCAGCCGATACTTCCCATTTCATTTTTAAACAATTAAACAACAAGATTTAAGTCTAAAGCATGATAAAATGATCCAAGGTTTAAGTAGTTAATAACATAATTTGCGAAAATTAACCCAACACGACCCGAAACTGAGGTGTCACTAGTCATGAGCATCTAAACAATCTGGAATACTCCAAATAAAACTACAGAGTTTAATACAGAAACTAAGAAAATGAAGAAATAAGATAGGGAAGAGCTCCGGGCTATGAACGCCAACAACTACCTAGTGACTCCTCGGATCCGTCGGAGCTGGAAATGATCAATACTCGGGAGCGGGACCAGATACGCCTGAATCTACACACAGGGTGCAGGGAGTAAAGTGAGTACTCCAACTCAATGCGTAATAATCATAAATAGATACTGAAAGCAGGAAATCACGTAAGGCACAAAGTATGCTATAATGAAGTAGTAAAACCATTAAAACAGTAAACTAGTGAAAGATGGGTAAAAATCCTTTAACTCAAATTTAACTTTATGAAAAGACTTTTTCAACAATTAAGCAGGTAAATGACAGGCAATTAAGAAAAGATAAACACATAAAGGTTCGCCCCTCGGGCACAGTATCAATAAATCCGCCCCTCGAGCAACATCTCAAAACAATACCAATCCCTGGGGCTCAATCACACATCACAATGGGTACCCGCACTCACTAGGGGTGTGCAGACTCCTGGAGGGGCCCCTTACAGCCCAAGCGCAATATCAAGCCATCTCGTGGTATGCTCAGCCCAAAATATTATTTGAAATATCATTTGATATATTAAAACAGAGTAAACATGGCTGAGTTATGAAAACAGTGAAATATAGCATGACTGAGTTCAAGTATAAAGTCAAGACAGTGAGGAAATATCAATGAAATCCCCTAAGGGTTCGAATAGTTGGCAGGAAGCCCAAATATGACATTCAGCCCAAAACATGATGATAGCAAATAGATATTTAGTCAAATACACGGTAAAATAGTCATTCGGGACGGACTAAGTCACAATCCTAGGCTCGTCATCTAGCATGTGTGCCTTCTTAATATAGCACAACGATGTGCAATCCGGGGTTTCATACCCTCAGAACATCATTTACAATCATTATTCACCTCGATCCGGTCCAAACTCTAGCCCGTAATGCCTTTACCCTCACGAACCGACCTCAAGATGCTCAAAATCTAGCCACAATCAGTACATAACCATTAAAATATGCTAAGGGGACAAAGCCCACTCGAAAATATCCAATTTACATCAACAATCCCAAAATTGTCCAAACCCAACCCCCCGGGCCCACATCTCAGAATCCGACAAAATTGACATCAATAGAATCCTCATCTTCCCACGAGTCTATACATATCAAGAACATCAAAATCGGACCTCAAATGACCCCTCAAATCCCTAATTTACACTCTCCAAATTCAAGCCCTAATTCCTTAATTTTAGGCTTAATTTCTATGATTAATTAGGTAGAATTTATACAAGAATCGAGTATTGAGTTCAAAAATCTTACCTCCTGGTGTTATCTCTTGAATCCCTCTTCAATCCTCTCAAAAAGCTCCAAAATCGCCCAA